ATTAAATTTCTTTCTTTTTTTGTACATAAATAGTATATTTAAATATATTAAATATAAATACTTTCAAAACATGCAGTATAGATGATTTCATAGGATGTTTTTGTTTTGTTATTCATGCAAAGCATATTTGTCAATTTTGAAGCCTTAACCTAAGAAATATTAGCAAACAATGAAGGCCAAAAGGAGAATAAAGTAAATCTTGTGTTAGGTTAAAACAATAGAGTTTTTGTGTCGTTTCTAGTCCAAATATCCAAAGATTTTTCATTTAAAAAGCATTTTCTAGACAAGCACAACATGTAAAGTTTTTTTTTTCAGAAATAATAAATATAATAAATAAGAATAATTTAATAAATAATAATAATAATAATTTCAGAGGTTAAGTGAATTTTTAAGACAAAATACAAGACAAAAATAATCTGCCAATGGATTCAGCAAAATAAACTAGATTATTCAGCTTGTTTTGTGGAAAAACTCAATAAATTTTGACTCATCATTTCTAAAAACAACACTATATGTTTCACCTGTCTAGAAACTGTGTCTTGATTTTAGGAATTTGTAGATATTTGGACTAGAAACAAGACAGAAGAGCATTTTATTATCAGCGCAGGGCATTCCTTTTAATCCTATAACCACGCTGTTGTCTCTAAACATCTTTATTTTCAATCCAAATGTTTCCACAGCGTGCTAGTTCCCTCAGAAATACAGCTTTTAAAGCAAAACCACACCCTTTGGAATTGCGTCAAAAGCAGTAGCGATGTCTCTCGGTGTAGCTGTGGGTCTGGTAATGGTTTCCTCATCCTGCCTCTTTTTTTCCTCTTCCCCGCCGCCTCATTCATCATCTCATCAGAGGTTGTTAAAGGTGGCTGTGTTTTTAGGTAAACAGCTCCCGAACATCTCCCGACGGAGCGCGTCTTCTCAGATAAGGACTCAGCCTCGGTCGGAATTTATGTCGACGCGAGACAATTACATTAAATAGTGTGTGTGTTTACAGCGGCGTCTTTAATAAATGCACGCTTCTTCTGGGCTCTGTTGTTATTTACTGCGGCGCTTTCGCGCGCTGCAGATCTGGCCGCTGCAAATGGCATTACAGCCCGTGATGAATGAGCGTTAGAGTAAACTCATTTTAAAAACAGCCTGATTTATGATCTCTCCGGCCTCCATTTTCATCAGGTCAGTGCTTTGGATGAAACCGCACAATGTCAGCCGCAAGGTCACGCAGGTTTTTACGATTCTCCCTAACCCCATCGCTCAGAAAAACCGAACGGATGGTCATTGGTGTGTGTGTGTGTGTGTTTGAAGCAGGTGGTGTTGTGTGATGTGTGAAATGCGATGGTGGTCAACCTCCAATTACGAGTCCTGGTAAGACAAGGCCTTTAATGGCGGCTGCTAGCCTTCGGGGAGCTCTATTACACACTGCTGTTTTGCAGGACCAGCATCAAATCTATAAAAGTACCATTAAGAAGGAGAAAAAATCAATCAAAATGCCATTAAAGCGGAATAAGTTGCCAATATTGCTGATGTGGTTGCGGCTTCTTTGATTTTCCCTCAGATTATTAGGCGCAGCGGCCGGAGTGACTTTGTTAAGGGAAACGAGTGTTGTTGGGGAGTAATACGTCTCCCGGCTTCATAAAGTTTGCGGCCTCATATTTCCCGCTTTATTGATTATCCATTATCATTTGTCATGAGGTGTCCTAACTCAAGGGGAAATATAGCTCTCTTCATCGCCGAGCCGAGCGCCGTATGGATCTGCGTGTGAAGGTAGCAATCTTGGAGAAAAATGAGCTGAAAAACAAGGCGCCGCCGGTGCAGAGGAGTGCTGACGCCGCTTTGTTCTCTCGCTTCTTCTCGTCCTCCTTCAGAACCAGAAAGAGAGCAGCTAGCATTTGTGTGCTGTGTAGAGAGACCTGTGTGTGTGTGTGTGCTGAAGACAGGAGTGTGTAATAAGAATTGTAACGTCACGACAGCTCAAGGTGCAAACACATCCTGCCCTGTACTCAATATCATAGAAACGTCTGTAGTGCTGAAGACACTATTGAGCAAAAACCACATCTCAGTCATGCACAATACTATTAATAAGACTACATTTTGCATCTGATCCTGTGCTTTTTATAAAGAGTCAAATCTTTAATTAAACAGCTGATGGAGTATACACTAACCTGCACATTATTCAGACACTAAATGGAGACAGACAGAAACAGCTGATGGAGTATACACTAACCTGCACATTATTCAGACACTAGATGGAGACAGACAGAAACAGCTGATGGAGTATACACTAACCTGCGCATTATTCAGACACTAGATGGAGACAGAAACAGCTGATGGAGTATACACTAACCTGCGCATTATTCAGACACTAGATGGAGACAGAAACAGCTGATGGAGTATACACTAACCTGCACATTATTCAGACACTAGATGGAGACAGACAGAAACAGCTGATGGAGTATACACTAACCTGCGCATTATTCAGACACTAGATGGAGACAGAAACAGCTGATGGAGTATACACTAACCTGTGCATTATTCAGACACTAGATGGAGACAGAAACAGCTGATGGAGTATACACTAACCTGCGCATTATTCAGACACTAGATGGAGACAGAAACAGCTGATGGAGTATACACTAACCTGTGCATTATTCAGACACTAGATGGAGACAGAAACAGCTGATGGAGTATACACTAACCTGCACATTATTCAGACACTAGATGGAGACAGAAACAGCTGATGGAGTATACACTAACCTGCACATTATTCAGACACTAGATGGAGACAGTCAGAAACAGCTGATGGAGTATACACTAACCTGCGCATTATTCAGACACTAGATGGAGACAGACAGAAACAGCTGATGGAGTATACACTAACCTGCGCATTATTCAGACACTAGATGGAGACAGACAGAAACAGCTGATGGAGTATACACTAACCTGCGCATTATTCAGACACTAGATGGAGACAGACAGAAACAGCTGATGGAGTATACACTAACTTGCACATTATTCAGACACTAGATGGAGACAGACAGAAACAGCTGATGGAGTATACACTAACCTGCGCATTATTCAGACACTAGATGGAGACAGAAACAGCTGATGGAGTATACACTAACCTGCACATTATTCAGACACTAGATGGAGACAGACAGAAACAGCTGATGGAGTATACACTAACCTGCGCATTATTCAGACACTGGATGGAGACAAACAGTCAGTAACTTCAACTGTAAATGTATTGAGTTATTATTAACCAAAGCAATGTAGTTGTGTTTTTTGTAGTTATGCTCCAGATTGACTTGAAGGAATAAGTGCAACAGGATTATCGACCCCTAAAGAGACGATCGATCATGTATTCAACATCACTGTATATTTGAGCTGAACACGGCCTCGCATTTCCCATTCTGCATCATGGCCGGTGTTTGGCGTATGGATATATCATTAGAACGACACACAATGATTCAATCCATTAAATATGAGTGTGATTGTGTGTTGCAGTAATAGAGAATCAATCCAAGGGCTTGTGAGATGATTTATAATGTTAGCACAGCATGGATGGAGTTAATAATGCAGAATATTCATCCACACGCAAACCTGCTGGAGATTCATAGCGGATTCACTGCAAAATAATGATTCTTTTAGTTTTCAAGATAAAAACCAAGCAATACTTCGCTTTTGTCTTGTGTCTAGTCCAAATATCTAAAGATTCTTAAATCATGAAGCATTTACTAGACGAACAAAAACATGTCCTGTGTTCAGAAATAATGAGTCAAAATAGGGTGAGTTTTTCATTTAAACAAGCAAAATAATGTTATATAAAAAAGTCAAATAGAGCATCAAACAAGGGATAATGGTGACACACTCACCGGCCACTTTATTAGGTACACCTGACTAGTGCCGGGTTGGACCCCTTTTGCCATCAGCCATCAGAAGATGGAGACACTGTGCTCATAAAGGGATGGACATGGTCAGCAGCAATACTCAGGTAGGCTGTGGCGTTGATGCTCAATTGGTACTAATGGACCCAAAGAAAATCTCCCCCACACCATTACACCACCACCACCAGCCTGAACCGCTGATACAAGGCAGGATGATCCATGCTTTCATGTTGTCTGAGCCGAGCATCTGAATGTGTCAGCAGAAATGGAGACTCATCAGAGCAGCAACGTTTCTCTAATCTTCTATTGTCCAGTTTTGGTGAGTCTGTGTGAATTGTAGCCTCAGTTTCCTGTTCTTAGCTGACAGGAGCGGCACCCGGTGTGCTCTTCTGCTGCTGTAGCCCATCCGCCTCAAGGTTGGCCGTGTTGTGTGTTCAGAGATGCTCTTCTGCAGAGCTCGGTTGTAACGAGTGCTTATTTGAGCTACTGTTGCCTTTCTATCAGCTGGAACCAGTCTGGCCATTCTCCTCTGACTTCTGGCCTCATCAACAAGGCATTTGCGCCCACCGAACTGCCGCTCACTGGATATTTCCTCTTTGTCGGAGCATTCTCTGTAAACTCTAGAGATGGTTGTGCGTGAAAACCCCAGTAGATCAGCAGTTTCTGAAATACTCAGCCCGTCTGGCAGCAACAACCATGCCACGTTCAGAGTCTCTTAAATCCCCTTTCTTCCCCATTCTGATGCTCGCTTTGACCTTCAGCAGATCGTCTTGACCATGTCTACATGCCTAAATGCAGTGAGCTGCTGCCCTGTGATTGGCTGATTAGACATTTGCATTCATGGGCAGTTGGACAGGTGTACCTAATAAAGTGGCCGGTGAGTGTGTATATGACCTATAAAATGACACCGCGATAGAGAAAAACTAATAAAAACTGTACAAATCTTCATAAATAAAACATTTTTAGCATTTGTGTTGCGCTTGCTCGGATAAATAAGACTGGATCCCACATTTTATCACATTTTGCAGAGTTCCCAGAGGTGGCATGTCTAATTCTGTCCAAATATAAAGTGGTGGTGAGTCCAAGAAGTCAGTCAGGATTATTTTCTTTCTCCGTCCGCAGCTTCCAGACAAGTCCTCAACAACATGCTGCGTGAGCCGTATTTAATTCCAGATCTGGTGTTAGCCAAGCACATCGAGCAGGTATGATCAACACACACATGCTTTATTTCTCTATTTGATTCATTCCTCAGCAGGAGATGTTTAGCAGAATGTTTATGTTGCTGTTGTTACAGCCTAGTGGAGTCAGGCTTGGACCAAACGCCTTAAACTACATTCATAACAGTGCCATTTCGGAAAAATTACAGAAGAATGGATCACTGCGTTATGAAATTATTTAATTAAACAAAAGTCTATTGTCATTAAAATAGTTTGGTTTGCAAATCATTGAAATGTTATTTGATACACAAAGAAAGAATGACATGAGATGAGTGAATATATATATATATATATATATAT